GAGTAAGTGGAAATTACTGTTAACATATCGCTCGGTAGAGGTACTTCTGGTACACAGTTTGTTCTCGTAAATGTTCGCGATTGCCATTGTGTCTCGTTAGTTGTTCCTTGTTTTTACAAGTACGTATTTTTCCCTCTGACTTTTTATCAACTGCATATATACATACATACACACGCGAGAATTGATTCGGTTTAAAGGAACATTGTTCGTTCTTTCGCAACGCTCGTCACGATTTCTGTTTCATTCGTGAAATTAAAATGCTCACCTCCGAAAGAAAACTACACTGTTGGTTTAATCTACCCGGTGGAATCTCGTGTAAGCCATTTTCTCCAACTTCTTCACGTTCCAGTATTTTCACCTGTGTGTCTCAAAAAGTGGTCCACTCTTGTTAGAAATTTCACTCCCCCGAAATTTTATGCATCTCCTCTTTGAGATTTCTCATCCTACGTTTTTGTCGCCTGCTTTCCAACCGAGTATTATGTTCACGCGTCAGAGGAAAGTTGTTTCACCCCTGTTTTTTTTTTTAACGAAATCATCGAAGCTGTTCTGTATTTTATTTTTATCGTGAGGTGTCTTTGATCGTGTAAACAGTATCGTAGATGAGTTCATATTTGTGTGGAATATTTGCCTTTCTGTTTTCTGTCTTCTTTCTTGGTCTAAAAGGCATAGGCGCGCCACGCTTCCGGTTACGGAAGAAAGCTTTCTTCCGCGACAGTTGGTGAAAAGGTTTACTTTCGCGCGTCCCTTGTACCCTTGTTTCTTAATTCACACAGCGTTTCCGGAATGCAAATATGCATTTCACGGGGTACTGTGATCGCGAAGCGGGAAATGTCCTGATGGGACTTCTCCCTTGAATTTTCTTCTTGCATAATAATAATTCTCTTTGTCGGATGGGGGGAAGGTAAATAAATAGGTACGAGATCGTATTTTGGAAAGATAACCGATATAGGATAATTAATTTAAGATAATTAATATAACAGAGATAAAGAAATAAAGATAATTAATACAATATAATAGAAGTTAAGACTAGCAGGGTAAGAAATATGTCAAATATTGTAAATCGAAAAGGTGTAGCCGGAAGTCATCCTAAGCCGAAAGGCAAGGATTATAATAAAGAGAAAAAAAAAATACTTCTCTTTATCTACACATTTCTTCGAAACGTGGAAAATTTCTCACCGGCCGATTTTTCAACCGATAAATATTCTTATCGCATTGCAACGTAACTCGAAGTTAGTTTCTTCCTCCAAACGAACGCGTTAAAGCAAACTTTTCTTCTATTTAAGGGAAGAAGAAGAAAAAAGGGAACGAAATAGAAATGGTGTTTCGCGTTTGAATGCGTCGCGAGGAAACGATAATATCAGTTATTAAGAATGAAATTACGTACGAGATAGCAGGAAGAGTTTACGTTCATTGTTAAACTTATTTCGAATCCATTAAGAGTTGTTAAGCGACTTGGAAGTAAAGAAATTACAGAGGAAATTAAAATTCGTACCTTCTCTCCTTAACTTGCTTGTTAACTGCACAGATCTTTATTTTGTCCAAAAGATTTTCTGATTTAGAAAACTTTCGTCTGTTTTAATATCCCGTGAAATTAATATGTATATATATGTATTTATTTTCAACTTTCTTCACTTTTATTTCGAGTAACGGAATAAAACACATCCATCGATCGCGTTCGAGTGGCACCGGAAATGAGAGCAACATATGAACGTCATGGTGTTATTGATTTTGCTGTATCTACTGACCCGTTATTTCGTACTCTTCACCTCTCTCTCCTCCCGTGAAATCCAGCCAGAAATGAAAAACCGAATTCGAACGACAATTTACCTTTTACGCGACATTATTCGTCCCTCCGTAAGCTTTCACGTGTTCACATCGAACGAGACACTTTCGTACATTAACGTTAATTAGATTTTGCCATATTCACTGTTGGCATATATTCGTTACATTCGTGTCGTTCATCTTCGAAGAATCGTTCACGGCGATGTTGCACAATTTCAGGCGCGGATTATTTAAATTTTATTTTCCATTCGAAGCAATTTCACACAAAGTGCAAATATACACATTTACACGAGTTCACTTTGGGAATTGTACTTTTGCTGTTATTTTTTATCACTTCGTCTGCATGCACCGCGAGAAAATTGTTGCAAGTTGGAAGCATGAAATTTTTCAGAAGAGTGAAAACGAAATTACTTAATTAGAGTATTGTGAAATATGCGTTATGATATTGTTAATATTGCTGTGTCCTCTGACACGTTATTTCGTACTTTTTACTATTGTGAAAAATTGTTGCAATTTGAGAATATAACATTTTTTGGGAGAGCGAAAAATGTGTTTCTGTCTGGAAAATATGAAAATTTGGTAATTACGGTATTATGAAATATAGGTCAATTAAAATTTACTCAAGTAGTGCAGTTCAGCTTCTGAAATATCATCCGATGGTAAATCTACGTGTTGGAAGATATTCGAAGTAATGTAATGAAAATGAAAAATTTTTCACCTGTGACAATTTTCTCGTTGTTGTATAAAAGCTAGCGGTGAAATCGATTGTTGGCACAAGGTACAATCGTAGATTTGGCGAAATGAAAATTTCCCTTTGTTCGAGTACCTATTGGCCGCTAGCACCAAAATGAAGCTCCGTGTAAGCGAGGAAGGAAAAGAAAACGAATTCATTTCTCGGAAGACTTTTTCCCTTTTCACGAGGGGTCATTACTTCAAGTAGCCTCAAGCAGTTCCGTCTTATACATCCCTGTCATCGCAGTGACGACGGTTGTAACGTCATTTACAAACAAACGATTCTAAATCGTCAGTTCGTAGCCATTAACTTCAGCGAAATTGAAAAATCTCTTTATTTCTTCTTCTTCTTCTTACTGTTAACATTGAAATCCTCTGAAAATTCTCGTTGGGGATTGAAAAGTACGAAATACTGTTGTTAGGTGATTGTAACTTTTACTGTGTAACGTGTGATCATTTGTGCATCGATTTAAGAAGTTTCTTGGCTCTGTCGTCTCTTTTTCTCTTTTACAGCTATTGAAGTAGGGACGTTTGCAGTGACAAGGGAAGAAATTGACGAAATTGAGAAATGCTCCAAAACCTGGAGATAAAGAACCACTGCAAGTGCCTTGAATAATTTTTGCAAAGATTTGAAGTGATTTTTGCAGCGAGGTCCTTTGTCACTTTTTTATTTTTATTAGATTTTTTTCTTTCTTTCGTTTTTAATTTAATTTCATTCAATTAGATTTTTTATTAGATCTTATTAGATTTTATTGGATTTTCTACTTCACTGAAAATACCTCTATTTCAGTAGCTTTAAAAAAGGGAACAAAAATGACAGAGCCACAACTCCATACACATTCTGGTTTTGAATGCCATCTTTTAAGAAATTTTTAGGATTTTTTCCCCATAATATATTTTTTTTGAAGTAAAAACAATCAAAATTACACGAGTTACAGTTTATTTTATAGAGTGTGTCGACTGTTTACACGATTCCGGGTCTTCTGCTGATCCAAAATAAAAAATGAGGAAGATTCTTAATCCCAAACGATTACATATCGTACAATAAAAATTACAAGCTCCTAGCATCAGAGTATTTCGACTCAGGTCGCAAACTTTTCGCGTTTGCCTTTTCTTCTCAAACGCAATCCATCATACTTACGATATAATTTCCATTCTTGTCAATTATTCGACAATGTAGAGTCACCGAATCTTGGTTAATACCTTTACTTTACGACAGCACCGCGACAACGTCGAGCTTCGTGACACTCGTGATAGAGAGATAGTACACGAGGTGACTGGTTTCTTGTGACACGAGCGCGTCCGCGCGAATAATCCGCATGCATTACAAACACGTGAATTATGGCGCTATTGGATTTCAGCGTCCCTGCATAAACACAACAGCCGAATCAAAATGTAATCGACGTTAGCACAGCTGCCAATTCGTCGAAAATATTCGATTGTACCTGCACACACCGTTGCACGCGGAACAAAAAACTCGCTCAGTTGTTGATTATGGTTGATTAAACGATCGATAGGTTCGCGCAGTATCGACAGAACTTCAAAACGCTCTTTAACCCTTTCATTTCTGCTGACGTTAACAGGCGCTTTGGAAATTTCTTCACACCGCGCTATTCGAGCCTTTTTGGGGCACTTCTATTTTTATTCGATCCTTTGCACACTTCTGCACTATTTCATTTAGTGAAATAGATTTTGGAACAATGAAACAAGAAATTTTGCTACCGTCTGTCGCAGCGAAAGGGTTAATTCGTAAATAAACGAGTCACTCAGAAGCCGAAGTGACTAATTTTCCATAGAATGAAATTTATCGAATTTGTTTTATTTATGAAAAATTAAACACCAAGCTTTGATACTGAAATTGGGAGAATGTCAGAAAGTGGAGTTAATCATTTTGGTTTCTGAGTGTTTCAAATGTTAACCCTTTGCGGTCCAAATAGTCCACTTAGTCCGCACTCATTTGGTCACTCTCGAGCAGTACCATGTAGTTTCTCTTTATTTCAACGTTTCAACGTAATATCAGTTATAAAATACTAAGTTTCAGTGTAACATTAATGCATAAAAACTGGTTTATTATCATTTATAATTTATCGTTACACGATATCTGAAAGCAAAAATTCTTACGTCGAGTCAGACTCGAATCTTAATCTTCTCTCTTAGATCTTACTTAGATCTCGATAATAAGTAAACTTAACAATTTCCACGTTCTTTTATTGCAATAAAATTTCTTCTGCAACGTGTGCACAATTTAACTTGAATAAAAATAATATATTTACAATGGGCAATGAAAGTGTTTTACAGAGGAACGTTGCGCGACATTTGTTTTCAAAATGAATCCTCAATTTTGGTTTTTCGCTTTTTCTAGTTTGAAGAGCGCGAGCTCTTCCCGCGCGAAATTGGCTGCTTCGAACGCGTACAGGAATTTTAATATTTCCCTGTGATAAATCGTGGAATAACTTGTAAAATCAAATTTTTTTCGTCTTCTTTCGAACGACGAGTTTCTGAATCCGTGGACGTCGAGGAAGGAAGATCGAAGTAATTGTTGGATCGATTATACTTTTGCATTTTTAATTGGTACTCTGTTGGAAATCAGTATTGTATACTTTGTAGTATTCTCAACTTATTAGACTGCATGCTGTTGAATCCAAGACACGTAAGATGGAACGCGAGTGTAGACAGTTGGGTAGTTAGGGAGACCACATCCTCTCGACCAAGACACAATTCCCACGATTTTTCCATTAACTGTGAGAGGACCGCCAGAGTCACCCTGTAAACAAAATACCATTAATTAGAAAGAAAAATCTTAATTACGTATCTTTAATTTTGGTAAATATTTTGTATGTAAATTAATTCGGTGGCTTTCTTCACAAATTCTTGACGACTTTATCCACCCAAACCGTCATATTTGTTCTGACAGAGAATTCCTCGGTTATCCAATAAATGGAAAAATGATCACTCAATATAACAGAGATTATTTTGAAAATCAAAAGTGTTCGATTTTTGGTAAATAAACATTGAAGTTCGTGAGAAAAGAAATTAATTTTCACACCTAATAGTTATCCCTCTGTAATTCAATTTTTTCTTCGTTCATGAGAAACAAAATTACGGTTGACTATAATTTTGCATTTTGACAGAAGAAGCAAGAATTAGTAATTATTAATAACGTAATAGTGTAGCAATAAAGAAATAAAATGGGACTTAATATCCAGAATCGTTGTGGAGGGTTAACCCTTTCGCGAGAGAATTATTTTTTTGAGGAATTCGTTATTTATCTATTGATCATCGTGTCTGCAATGTTCATTTTTATTCGAGCACTCAAGTGGAACATGCGTGTCCCATTTGTCACGAAAGGGTTAAACAAGAGAAAGTGACACTTACTTGGCAAGCTCCTTTCTCGTTTGATGGATAATTGGCACAGATTTGCGTGTCGAAAATATTTCCGTAAGCCTTTTTGCAGACATTCTGGTCTGTGATGTAGATGCGTGCCTTTTGGAGTTGATTGGTAGTTGGTCCACCAGACTGTACAACGAAATAATCATTTAATATTGCATTTAGAACGTATATTACACGAAAATTGTAATTTTAATAGAGAACTTTGATATCAGTTAATACTTACTCGGAGTCTGCCCCATCCTGATACTACAGCCACTGAGTTAGCTGAGACAGCTTCGTTTAGTCTTGGTAGAGGCACGAAAGATATCTGTGAGCTTGGCACGAATGGTGTCTTTACCTATAGAAATCAAAAGACTTCAATGTTATAGTATTTTTTCATTTCTGAAATTTCAAAGCTTTTACTTTCTTCGTTAAATGATCTTTTTTTTTCTATTTGATTGCAGTTAACCCTCTCACTAAGGCACCCTCGAGAAAAACAAATTATATAGTTTATTAAAAGCACTATATTTTCAGTGTAAAATTATCTAAATAATTAAAAGTCTGAAAAATTTCGATTGTCATTTTTTATCAAATTTTGTTAAACTTTTTAATAAATTTTAATACTCGACACAAAACGATCTGTTATATTCCATCTTTCGCATTTCTTTCTCTGTTTCACCAAAACTACTTCGTACACCGCTAAAAATGCAGAATATGAATTTATGCAAAACAAGCAATGTCTGCATTTTTTGGCGGTAAATTTGAAAAAAATCTGAGCGTTAAGTGATTAAAGGCGTATGTATGCGCACTTAATCAAAATTCACAGCGAAAGGGTAAAGCAAAATTGAATCACAATTAGATACCTTGATCAGCGCGATATCGTTGATCCAGTTATTAGACGGATTGTATTTTTCGTGTTTGACAATCTTCTCAGCTTTATGCACCGAGGGCCGACTTTGCAGGTTTATGGTTCCAGCGATAACGTCGATATTCTCAGCTTTTTGGCTGTTAACAATGTTACAAACCATGTAATGTTGCTTGTGTTACGATAACGATCGAGGATTCTGCCTGATGGGAAATTAGGAAACTTACTTCTCGACGCAGTGAGCTGCTGTGAGGACGTAGTTTGCATTAAGTACCGACCCACCACAGAAATGACGTCCTTGAGTTTGCAGAGATACCTTTAACGTTAAAGTGGTATTTTTCAATAAATTCTGCCGTTTTATTTCTTTCCTCGATCTCTATCTAACGTTAATTCACTTAAGATACACGATACCGCGAAACACTGTTTCCTTCTCGCGTCTCTCCTTCCATTTTCGTGCGCGTTAAACCCTTTGGACTCCTTTATCGAGTGTGACTCGACATCAGTTTTATTCACAGGTACGAATGAAATAATTTTTAAATTGCCAATTTAAATATCCATTATACTTTGCAGTATTTTTTTTACTTGGATGAGCAATAGGTTAATGCTATTTTCAATATAATTAGTAAAATAAAATAAAAAGAAATTGTTTAAATTGCTTCCTATCGACCAAATGTCTTTCGAAGTGCATTTCAGATAAAATTCTTAAAATAACAGGTAGTTATTGAAAAGAAAATTTATAAAAAAATTCCGAGTTTAAAGGGTTAACGAAGGATTTACACGTACCTGGTATGGAATTTCGCCTGCTTTCACATTTTCACCGTTCACGATCCTAGGATCCAGGTCCAGGGTCAACGAAGCGGCTGTAAATTGCGGCAGGGCGACGTGATTAGTATAATCGAAGTTTAAGGTTACGGTAATTCTAATCGAGATTCTTATCTACGGTGGAACAAGTTAAGTATCTGTTAACGGAGGAATCTGCTTGGTTACTTACCGTTAGCTGTGGCCAACGCTGCCAAGAGAATAAGTATCATCGTGGTCATATTTGCAGTATCAATACGAGAATGATAAATTTGCGAAGCGACCTGTTCGTTATATACTACCCGTTAGATCGTAATCTTTTAAAAGTAAACCGTGATTGACAAATCGTCTTTATCTCGATCACGATCAAGATTAATTTCGTGCCAGCATCTATATCAATTTGCACCTAAGTATACGTCGTTTTATCGTTTCTTTCGATAAGCAACATCGATTGCCAGAGATTATTCGTCTGTATTGGACGAAATGTAGGTAAATAGAAATTTCACGGCGATTACAGTCTGACGGGTTTCTAAATCTGCCTGAGAATGTAAACAAGTATCTCTGGTGGATTGTTGAAATATCGTCAAATGTACGGAAAATACGTTTCTCAATCAAACACGAAAAATATTGATTTTTCGTAGCTTCAATTAAGGTAAATAATGTTGTGAAATTGTATTTTTATATTTACGCGCTGGAAAAAGAATCGAATAACTGAATTTAACTTGGTTTACAATAACCTACGTTTTATAAAACTATCTTATTCACTCATTCGATTCGTTCCCTCTCTTCCATTCACATTCCCTCGTACTCTACTAACTTATCGCCCTACTTATTACCCATTAATTGTTACCCCTCCCTTATACTTTAATATTCTCTTTGGTGTTCTCAGCCACTCTCTCTTTTCCAGCTTCTCGAGCCACTCTACAATCTTTCTGTCCTGCCTCCCATTCGCTACGTCTTCCATCCTGATATCCCTGTCGGTTTCTTTGCAGTCCCCTGTTAAATGTTCCAGATTTCCGAATCTATCACCACACAAATCGCATCTCCTTCCTTCCTCCTCTTCCCAGTACTTGTTCCAGTTTTCTAAATTCCCGTGTCTCGCTTGGGCTATTGTTATATACATGTATATGTTATTAAAAAAAATTTTTTTTTACGCCTCATAGTACTAATAAGTAATATCTAAAAGTACAAGTTGCAATTTTAATTCCTGTCCTTGTAATAAATTCCCAAAAAACGTTATATTTTTACCAAATCTGACTGCCTAGTCCCCTTAACTTCTAGCCTATTCCTTCTTTGCTCAAGTAGTCCTGTAGTTCTCATGTATTTGTACCTAATGTTGTATTTGGATTGTTCTATTTTTGTGTATTGCCTCTGTTGTTGTACTGATAACTGTATTATCATTGTGTGATAATCTGAACGAGGTTTGGCACTCTCTTGATACTCTTAATTAATTAACAAAAGATTTGAAAAAAAGATAATCGCATGTAATTAAATGTCCATTCCCTTTGTTTATTATCGTGGACTTATCTGATTAATCCAGCTTTCACAATTAACCGGATTATTCTCTCAGCCCTTATCTCTCTTGTATTCACCTTATATCTAACGTCGGATATTCGAAGATTAGTATTTAATCGCTGTTTTCTTTGTAATCTTCAAATACTTCGCTTTACGAAGAAACATCGACAATTTGATTTCTTCAGCTTTCATTGCAAAGATCTATGATTTAAAAAATAATTTACAGAAAGTTGTTGAATTGAAATTATTGCAATAACTAGGCTGGTAAATAAACTGTATCTTTTCTGATCTATCTATCAAGTTTCGATGGTTAGGATCGGATAGTAGGATCCCTAAATTTCAACACAGGGTCAGTTCATTCTTATTGGTTCAGAGGAGCCTCGTTTTCTTGGCACAGAGGAAGAAATACGTTCTCTGGTTTTTCATAGTCTCGCCTGATGTGAACACCGGAACGATTTCGTGGCAACTCACGGTTTATGTTCTCTCCTACTGCTATTCGTTACCAAATAATTTCTGCAATTTTATCGTAAAACTTTTCAATTTTCAGAAATTCTGAATTTAAATTATAATTTCCTTTAAATTCACTCATAATTGCGAAACGAATTTAAATTACAGCAAATTCTATACAATTCTTGTAGTCGATATGTTTATTTTTAATAGAAAAACTGATTTGGCAAAATACAAGAAATTCACACGAAGGTATCGAATAAGTGATTTATTTCGATAGAAAACAAATGTATGTGGAGTTAAGAATAAAATACAGGTGATTATTAATTAAAATGTACAAATAACAATAATATACGCAATCGCTCTCCCTCGCAACTTTTCCCGCGCTTCTCAATTTTACAATCAACACTCTCGTTCATCCCTTACAGCCAGCCAATTCGTGGGCCACTCGCCGCTGGGGCTTTTTTCCTTTAGGCTTGGCTTTCATCCCTTGCCGCCCACTTTCTTTCTTCTACTTAAGGCTACGTTTTCTTAAAATTACAATACTGCATATAGGACATATAAGATATTCTTTCGGATGAAACAGGTGTTACTTTCTGTTGGATTATTAGGAGAAACGAGTGTATGTCTGTGACAAAACTCTGATACGTTTTTTTCCTCAGCGTCTTGTCGATGTTTGTTTTATCGATTGCGTAGCGACGTGCCTTCCTCGCGTATCAAAATAAACAAGTATTTATAATTCAAATAATATCTTTTCATTTATTGCCATAAATTCTTATACTTTCATTTCACAAAACGTCACAGCGTCGCGATGAACTCTCATTTCGGTTGTTAGAAATGTTCAAGCCTTGCGTTCGCGTTTTTCACTTCGTCTACTCGCGGTCTGTGTTTCATTTGCCGGGTCTACTTGGAGTTTGCTTTTATCCAATCAAGATGAGACGCCACACGGGTGTAGACTGTGGGGTAATCAGTGAGGGCGCAGCCCATTGCCCAAGAAACCAGACCAGTGAGTGTTCCGTTGACGGTCAAGGGGCCACCAGAATCACCCTGTGTAGAAAAAATAGTATACTGTATTTTCGAGAACAATTTCAGCGAGTTTGCCCAGTGAAATTTCGGGGGAAAAATGATCGTAGAGTAGTGTGACTCCAAGGGATGAAACTTACATGGCAAGATCCCTTCTCAACGCTTGGGTCGTAAGCGCAAATGTGCGAATCGTAGATGTTGTAATGACGTTTGTTGTACATTAGCTTGCAATAGTCTTGGCTGGCAACCAAGATGTTTACACGTTGTAGGTAAATAGTCGTGGGACCACCTTGCTGTAATTAGATAAATTTGTACGTAAATAGGTTGATTAGTAATTCAACAGGTTTAGGTACAAGATTCGTGCATTGAAAGTGTATTTAAAAGAAAAGTAGTACATATACGTATGGAGAGAAGTTAGTATAATATATTCTGTAATAAAAAAAAAAAAGAAAACAAATATTTAATATATGGAGAAAAGTTAATATAATACGCAGTGTATTAAAAGAAAAACTTAATGTATGCAGAGAAGTTAATACGTTCCGTGCCGGACCGATTTTCGGTGACTTTCCGTTCACGCCGCGTGGGTCGTATGAGTCTCACATTGTCGAGACTAACAGTTTTGCTTTTCGCCCTATATGTCTTCCAATATTTATAAGATTGCAAAAATCATTGTTATCGAGAAAAAGGTAACGTTTAAGATATGCTATAGAGCAAAGGAAAAATTTTTGTTTCAACAAATTATCGCCGTAGTTGCATAGTTTAAGTTAGCGGAAGGAAAAGGCCGAAATATCAGATGGCCTGAACGGAAAGACCAGAGTGGGGCGTATGCGAACGTGTTAATATAACACGCAGTGTATTCAAAAAAAAATATTCAAGATACGGAGAGAAGTTGATATAATATATAGTGTATAATATATAGTGTAAAAAAAGAAAAACAATATAATACACAGTGTATCTAAAAAGAAGAGAGAAAAATAATATATAGAGAGAAGTTAATGATTTACAAACCCAAAGTCTGCCCCATCCAGAAACCCTCGCGATTTGATTGGGGGCAATGACCACGTCTGGTGACGGAAGGCGGACGAAATCAACATTCTTCGATTTCACGAAGGGTTTGTCGACCTGTAAGCAATAGACAACAACGACGTAAGAGTGTTTGTCCAGTTTCACCTACCGATACCTTGAGAGTGTGAAAAAAGAAAAAAAATGTACGTCTAACTTACCTTCAACAACGCGATGTCATTTATCCACGAGTCGCTAGAGTCGTATTTCTCATGAACGATCACTTTCACAACGTTACGTTGAGAATCCGGCTTCGACAGATCTATCGTGCCAGCAACAACTTGGATGGAGCTCGCCGATTTCCTTTCAACAAACAAAATTCCCCTCTGTGATTTTTCATTCTTCCGGTTTTTCCGTAAAAGTCTCCCTTCCCTGTGTAATAACATCTCGAATGCAAATTTTCTCGGAATGCTTACCCGCTGACACAGTGAGCTGCAGTGATGACATAATTTTGACTGAGAACGGAGCCACCGCAAAAGTGGAACGCGCTGCCTTTGTTTTGAAGGGACACCTAGAGAAGAGAAGGAAGTGATTTCGATAACTCGAGAAGATTCGAAGAAGAGTTTTCATTTTATTGGAAGAAAATACCGAGCTTTCGGAGAAATCTTATTTTTCCATACTTTTTTTAGTCTGATCTGACTTCTTCTTTGAGAAGAGAAAGGACGTGGTTCGTTATTAAAACAACTGACCTGAAAAGGGATTTCCCCTGGCAAAGCATCCTCCCCGTTCACGATTCTTGGATCATACTTGGGCAGCACCCCAGCTGTGTAAATAGTAATGGTACACAATAATTAGTAGCTAGTGATTACGGATGGAACGTTGCTCATTATGCAGCTGCCGCTGGTTGCTTTACTTATTAGCTATATTTAATCGCGCAAATTGCTGTCATAGAGCACGCTCGCGATGGACCGAATTTTCTAGCCATTTCAGCGCGTTCCTGATTGAAAATCAACCACGCTTGTCGAAAGTCGGTCAACTTTTTATTAAATGAATAACTTTATAATAACTTTTTAAATAATTCAATAAATAAGTCAAGTAGACTGAATAATTTTTTGATTCAATTCTAAGTTTCCGAGTATTAAAAAACATTTGTCAGTGTGTCGAATAAAATATGGTAAATAGGTATGAGACATTTTGGAACAAAAACATGAGAGACAGGTGTGAAAATAGAAAACACTCACCATTGGAGATGGATAGGAGAGCAAGAAGTGACACCGTTGTCAAAAACATGTTTCTGTTTCAGTTGCTCACTGCAGACTGCTATGAAATCTCGTGGATAACAATATTTTATATACGGCGGTGTAGTCTTTCAAAACTGCGAAACTTTAAATCCCCCATCTTCAGAGATTAGATACATCCCCGATTTGCGTTGTATCAATACGTTGATTTCGTCGCTATTCTAACGTGTCACGATTAATTATTGCCTGATAACATTACCGACACTCGACACCGATAACTCGAGTGGTACAGACTGTTTTCTCTGTTCGTTCAACCTTTCACCGAAATTCTTATATCTGATTGTACACTGCTCGAAGACGTTTAACCCCTTTACGCTCATATTTTTCTCAACTTGATCAGTCAAACATGATCAATTTCATTTATTTTTTTCAATTATTCCCTGAGCGTGTGAAAATAAGTTTGCCGTTTATTTACAATGCTGTGACTTAAATTTTTGCAGTATGAAAATTGAAAGAAAATAATGAAAGAAAATTGCACTATGTTATGGTTCTCCATAGTTTGTCATGGTTTACGGATCAACTTACTCCAATTGTGGTTTTCGTGTTTATCAAAAGCAATTAGTTTCTTGATTAATAAATACAAATATTTCAGTTGGCTAGATAATTAATTATAATTTTCTGTTCATCTTTAATTATTGAAAGCGTTTCGCCCAAAAATTGCGAATTAACCAGAATAATTCCTGTACAAGACTGCACAGTTTTCACTTCAAGTTTTACGTCAATAGCTTGAAATTAAATCTTAAATAAGAGGAAAATAAATTTTAACTTGAATTTTTTCTTAATTAATAAATTTGACAAAAAAAAGGGTATTAAAAATACTAAAATAACTGTTATTGTTGATATATCAATGAAGATTATTACGCATGATTGTTGTGTATCCGTCTCACACAGTATTTTAAAAGAATACGAGATTGTTTAGCCGCAATACATTTCGTGACGTCATCTTTGGATTTTCCGTGAGATGTTAATCCCAATTGGACAGGTACTTGATGGGCAAATATCGATACGATAAGAGGAAATCGTTGAAACAGTGATTACTACGGGTTTTATTAAAAGTCAATTTATCTTCGAGCATATTTTAGCCTATCTGTGCGTGTATACTACTACTTAAAGACTAGAGTATGCTTTTATTCATTGATCTCAATTTTCTCTCGCGTCCCGACACGAAAATATTATTTATTTATCATATTTGTTTGTTTGGAACATTTTCAACAATTTCAATTCTATTTAATTTCACCTTTCAATATTTTATATCATCCAATTTTCATATCAAAGATCACTTCTCGTCGTATTTTCTTCCATTCCATTTTCATTTCAAACATCATTTCACGTCATATTTTCTTTCACTCAATTTTCACTTCAAAGATCTGTTACTAGCCAAAAGAAATTGATTAAATTATTTTCTCAAGTGTGCATATTAAGTTCCAAAGATTTATCGAAATTTCGTTACGGTTAATCGTCGTGTGTCTATTTTCTTCTTCGTATTTATGATCCAAGAATTGTTGTTAATTCAAATTTATCGTTGCACGAGAATACAACTTTTAAACGTGTCAAGTAACATACGGATATTGTTTTCGAAATCTCGGCAAGATAAGATTTACAATCGTACATTTAACGAAAGAACTCAGATTCACATCTGCGTACCTTACAAAATATCAATCACTGTGCTTAACAATAAAGACATCGATGTTTCTAAATTGAAACTGCTTGCTTAACTTATTCTACAAGCAACTTTATCCCAGTCATTTCCTGAATAATCGTTAAATGGAATTCCAAGAAGATTATCGATAACAGTTGGAATAGTTATTAATCGAAGGAAAAATTGATTGAATCGAGTATCAGATTCACAGATTAACCGGATAAGAAGGAACAAAGGGCAACAGGAAATCAATAAGGTCAATGTTTACAAATGGTGTTTGATGTTTCAGTAGATAAAACTTTACATTGGCAGAAATACGCGAATAACGTTAAAAGAAAAAGGCTCTCGAGATTTCATTGTAAAAACATATTTATCGATTCGTTCTAAAAAAAAAAAAAGATAACAGCATTCATCCAGACATATTTCATTTATTTCGTTGAACTCCGTCATTTTACCAAGTTATTTATACATTTTTCTTCTTCCTCGGATACACAAGAGATACCTTATCTTAAATAGAAACGGAATTGATTGCACCACAAGTGTTTAGATTTAACAATTTAATCTTCCGAATACTTTGCAATGCGCAATTCAGTAGTTCAAATTATCGTACGGCTGATAACAGTCGATATATGTAGCACATCGATAAGTCAGTTATTGCTTATTCACTGTTACTCTCGTACATGTGTCAACAATATCTTCGGTCGATCTTACAATTTCCCAAGAACAATTAAGATTAGGCCAGATCGACGAAACTGGCGTGATTCGTTTGCCGTTGTATTCTTCAGATTGAAGTTTTCAATGCGCGTTCTAATGTTCCTCCATTGCCAGGAGGGTTTGAAACCTCGGTTGGTCGTGGAAGAAGAAAATAGAGGAGGTGAGGATTGGAGGAAGAGGTGAGGGGAAGAAAGTTGCATTTCGTCCTGGGCTTTCTAGTGAACTCGTCACTAACAAGGAGAGGACCCGAGGTGTTATACCGACTTTTTAACGAGCTTTCGCACAATGATAGAGCTTCCAATTCTGAAGCTAGTGGTTCCTGGTTTTGGGAGTAGACGGCTATTTAACCTCTTGAAGCGCGTGCCTGTGTCTTACACGTGTACAATTGAACCTCGAAAAGGTGCAGTTCTGTTTAATTATTTTATTTCGCTGTTTATATTGTGTTACACTTTCTGCTCTGTGGCGAAAATGGGAAGTAAATGGGAAACTACACGCCTGGGAAATAATTGAAAAATAGTGAAACTGACCGTTTTTAGCATATCAAGTTGTGAAAAAAATTTGAGGGCTAATAGGCTAATTAAGTGGGAGAACTGTGTCTTAGCTGTGGAGGAAAGTTAGATTCAGGTTAGAAGTTGTACAAATAGAATTTTTGACGAGGACTAGTGATAAGGGTCAATGGTTCGTCCTTCTAGAGTTTCTTCCTGCATATGAATAGCAATTGAGGACCTCGCGGTAAGAGGGCTGTAGCTCAATTTTTCATAGTTTCTTAGTTATGATGTGTGATATACGTAAAAAGAATTCTACATTGTTCGGTGTAAGTCTGATGCAAATCCGATAACAAACGAGCGATTTATTGTAAATTTTGGACCTGCATCCATTATTGTTTTGTGTCCTTTTTAATGTTGAATTAAAACAATAATTTTATAAACACTTTTCTCTAACTTACTCGAAGTTGGTAATAATTGAGTTGCACCCCTTTAGCTGCAAGGTTTTCAATTGACGTGTCATAAGCGCGAAGCCGAGTTTTTCTGTCAACCCTGTAACGGGTACATTGACAATTTTCTCACTTTATGAAGGCAGCAAGTTGATATCGAACATTGACCAAGACCCTAATTTTATCGGCAGTTTTGGCCTCTCACCAAAATTCATTCCTCCGAAGAAACCGATATTCAACCTGTTAATGCCCGTGGTTGTGGCGATGAACTTTCGAGCCTTGTAATGTTTGCACGATGTTGTGCCGTCTAGATAATGATTCGAAGGACCACCCAATATGATTGGGACTTGTAGATTGAACTGGTTGCTCCTTGGTTCTCCTTGTGGTTGTTCTACGACTACTCGACGACTGACTCTCCGACGTCGCGTCTCGGACGTCCGTGAGAGGGATTTTTTCTTAGGACACGGTGATTGGTTAATGGTGAACAATTGCATTTACCAATCAGCATGTCACCTTGTCACCTTGGAAGGGTGGGAGACGGTCGCGAGGGGTGGACGGAAAGTCCCAAAAATCTGGAATTTCCTCCGGGTGACTCATCGGCAAGCGGACCGTCACATACAGATATGCCGTTTATGGTATGTTCGTAGGCTATTGAGCGCGAGGGACACAAATTACTAAAAATCTAGCAAAGCAATTCTAGTGACCCTCGCAGGATGTAATTAGACTCGTGCAAGCAATAAACGAAAATCCTGAGCTCAAAAATAACTGTTCCCGGTCGATCGTGCTATAAACCGTTTCTACAGAAAACCTAACACAACCCCTTGGAGGGGTACCACGAACCCAAAACAAAGGGAACAAGGAATTTTGCGGAATCAGAATAGATCAAAGAGTTAAGCTAGAAACATTTATGACAGCGAAGTGAAGAATAAGCTCGGACAACCCAACCAGTTGCTAAATCTACACAATTCTGCTTAAACATTGTGTCGGAACGAAACACAACTCGTTCATAGTCTGCTATTGCGATATCATTAGTATCGTTCGTCGTGTCTTATTGCTTTTAAATTTCATGTTTCCTTATCAACATTTCTCTTGCTTTCGCTATAGCATTACACGTTTCCGTTCTCTTTGATACTTCAGAGATAAACTATTTCACTAGCTCACTCGTACCATTCATTACATCAACGCATCGCACGAAATGAGTAAGCACCGTACTTCTAGAGCTGCGCTTTACTCGTCACCATTCGATAGCCAGTGCCTTATTAGGAGCATAATTGTATCACTCGTTGCTTATTCTTTTCTTCTTCTCGTCTCTCCCTCCATTTTTCCCCTCTCTTTCACTTCAGCCGCTGAATTATTCGAAGTATCCGCTCTTAAAATATCGATTTCTACCAAAGCGCAGACGGAATGAACGATTCAAAGGTTGTCCGAGGAAAACGAGGACTCTCCAGGCAAGAGTGTTCGTGTGAATTATTCGAGAGCGCAGTTTTCTTCTGTCGGTGGAAAAAGAGGTTGGATTTTCATGAAACACCGGAACGAGAAGTGTCATTTCAAGGGGACGTGGTTTCTTAAAGGAAGCCCTCTAAATTCCTTTCCCTGTCGCGTATAAACCCGCACGGCTTTACAAAGAAAACGCATCTAATTGCTTCATTTGCCGCGGAGAGGAACCCGCTTTTTCTCCGTCCGTTTGCATGCAACAGGGTGTTTTTATTGTCTCGAATATCGACGAACGTTTTTGCTGCGGAAGC